GAGGCAAGTTGGAGCTAAACTCTGCAGGACACCGGCCCTCCAGGACCGAGTTTGGACAGCCCTGATCTAATACTTATATTTTATTTTATTTCAGCTTGGCAATTAACCAAAACAGTCTAATATTTATATTTTATTTTATTTCAGCATTATTTCAATTGACACAAATAATTTTAGTTATATTTAACAATAACAACTGTGAAGACGGCACAGGAAAAGACACAATAAAAAAAAAATAGTGCACAATAAATTTGCATGTATTCCAATTATGGTCCAGCTGGTGGATTTATCCAAAATTGCTGGTCAACCGGCATTGCTTAGAATAGGAGAGAATAGAGACTGGACTGGGGCGGATGGAGATAAAGCTGTCTATGAATTAGTCACTTGCTGACAGAGCTCTTCCTCTTATTTCTGTTTTTTGTCTATCTCTTTCTGCAGGCTGCTCACTCTTCAGTGTCATGGTGAGGTCTTGCTGCTGTTCAACATCCAGCAGCGGGCAGAAGGAAGCCTGTTTTGGAAGAGGAGGCTGATGGAACGTGACTTTGCTCTCCTACCCATCCTTACTGTTTTCACATCTCACATAAACCATCCAGAGCACCAATGCATGTACATGGGTAAAGCAGAAATACTATATAGAGAATTCCCACAATGCGTCAAAACTCGATCTGCGTTCCTAGCAGTTTTTCATTCTGTATTAAGGTATTGTTTTTTTTTTATCTATTGTGTCTCTAGGCAGTTAGTGTAGAAATGCAGCCAGCCTGTGTACTTACCTAAGTCTGTGTAATTCGATTTACTGTACTGCTTTTGTCCACCAAGGCAGAGCTCAAAGTGAGGCTCATTTGACCTGCGCAAGGTGTGTCCATTCTCAAGGGCAGCGAGCGCATCACAAGTGTAGCGGTAGGTGATGAAGCCAAAGTTATCCCTGGGTTGACAAATAGAAAATGAAGTGTCAGTCGAAGAGAGTACAGGAACAATGTGTGATTCTATCAGCTGCCATTCAAAATATATAAATGCAAAATTGGAATTAGTAAGGGCCAGATTTACTAAACAGGACAAATTAGTGTGATATTGCAGTCCCATAAAAGCACAGATGGGAGTGGAAAGTTTTCCGGGTGATCAACTGATCTACTGACAATGTGCAAATTAACCCTCTGAAGCTTCTAACGTGGTGGTCAGAAATGGCAGATTTTTTTTTTTTTCAATGCAATGAAATTAATGTACTATATTTTAGTTTGATAATATATATAATGTATATATATATTATATATTACATTTTGTATATTTAGAGGATTTCATGGTACTGAGTTATATTTATAGAATAGTTATGATCCTTTTATTACCTGTTTACCACTTTCTGAGCATAGACCTGAAAATGAAATTTCCAACTTAAACTGTTTTAAATCTTGAATTCTTTAGAGTTTGGTCTCTTTTTAAAGAAGACACTTGATGGCAGATTATTGCTGAAGTGAAAAAATATATCAATTTTACATGAAATATATATTTTGCTAAATATTTTTTTACTTTAAAACTGTATACTCAATCAACGTAAACTCAGCACACCTGAAACGACGATAGGTGCATGGGAACAAAATCAAACAAAAAGTTTAATCAAAAATAAGTAACGAACCCGCACACTATCAATACTTGCTAATTCTTAAACTTTATTAAACGCAACGTTTCGGTCCACATTTGCCTGATGAAGATCAGTGGACCGAAACGTTGCATTTAATAAAGTTTAAGAATTAGCAAGTATTGATAATGTGTGGGTTCGTTACTTATTTTTGACTCTAAAACTGTATGAAAATCAAAGCCATGAATCTAATCAAGTTTTGTTCCAAATTTAAGTTTGATATCTCAAAAAATGAGCTTTCAGTCAAATTTTGTTTTGTCGCAGTACCAGACGTTTCCACTAGATGAAATTCGCTTCCCATTCATTTCCAAAGTGGTAAAGTTTGACCATTTATTCCTTTCTAATCATGTCCATGATTTATTTATTTTTTTCACATAGCAAGTGCCAAAACCTTTAACCAAGTTTTGTACCATTCTGACTTATATGTGCCCTAAATTATAGCCCTAAATATGTGACTTCTCGCTTTCTGTTATAGCATAATTCTATTTGTATTCAAACACAAACTTGCATGTGCAATGGGAAGCAGTGAAGTCTGCTTTACTAATCACCATCCAATGGCCGCAAGTACATCATTAACTAGATTTAGAAGATTCCTTTTATGCTGAAGGACAATATTGACTCCCTTTAACCATTCGACACACACACACAATCCAGAAAAACACACAGAGGCAGGCCCACGGTCTTACCCGTCATGTCTCAAGTTGACTGTGCACTCCTCAATCTCACCGAAGACTTCAAAGCGGCGTTTGAGCTCAGTGCGTGTGCTGTTGGTGCGAAGACGTCCCACATACACCACTCGCCTCTCCTCCTGGTCATAAAGGGAACGAGAGAGAAGAGATTAGTCTAACATAGTGCTTCTGCTTTCTTTTTTCCCTCTTCCCCCTCTCCTTGACTTCTCTCAACCTCACCCCATGACTGTAATTAACATCCACCACTGTGGGAAAGCCAAGAACAGTATGGAGGAAATGGCTGGAGGACTCTCCTATCTTTTACACTCTGTTTTGTTTGTGTGTGTGTGTGTGTGTGTGTGTGTGTGAGTGGATAAGAACAAACTAAACTAAAAGAGTCGGTCTCTCTCTTGATGTGTAAAACGTGGACTATCCATGGGATTATGCAAACAGGATGAGGGGATCATATTATAGAGCTATGACACAATATAACTTTGGTCTCTGTTGATTTTTTAGCAAATTTTAATCAACTAAAAAAAGTGGTTTTGAGCTTTATAAATGCTGCAGACGTATTTTGGATTGAGAAACGGAGTCCAAATGTCTTATACAGTATGTGCAGAATTTCTTATACTTGCAAGTTGATAACTTTCATCAATCTTTTATCGTCTACTCTGTTTACAACTAGAGCTGGGTGATACAGCAAAAAAAAAAATAATAATCTCAATATTTTTCAGTCTTGACATAAATTCAATATATATCTTGATATTTTTGTTTTTGTTTTTTCAACCAAACAGCATCATTGCCAAGCATATAAAAATAAAATAAAATAATAATAATACTAATAATACATCAAAAAAAATAAAAAATAAATAGTTAAAAATAATAAAGGTTGATAATGTTTTCCATTATTTTTTATTATATAGATCATGTAAGTGAACAAAATGAAATCGAATTATTTTTATTTTATTAAATTATTTAAAATATCTAATCATTTATATCTAAATCATAATATATTTGATCAGATTAAACATTATTACATACTAAAGTATATTAAAGGGGTCATATGATGCTTTTTTAAAGATCATTATTTTGTGTATTTGGTGTAACAGAATATGTTGACATGCTTTATTGTTCAAAAAACACATTATTTTTCAAATACTGTACATTATTGTAGGTCCTCTATGCCCCGCCTCTCTCAAACGCTTC